CACGTGGAGTGCCAACCTTGCCTGGTCCCAGCAGGTCTACCCCTTACCTGAATACCACATGAGTGCTACTGTTCTTACCCCTCTCTCTGCTCTTTTCTGGCTCTTTTCTCTCTCTTTCCTCTCTTCCCAGCTCTCTCTCATTCCCAGGCCTTTCCCAGCCACGTGGAGTGCCAACCTTGCCCGGTCCCAGCAGGTCTACTGAATAAACCTACCCCTTACCTGAATACCACGTGCGTGCCTGGTGCAGTTCTTACTCGGATACCTCTTTTTAAAAACCTAACAGAAATGTTCACCATCCCTGTTTGTGAAGGAAATGCAAATAAAGACAACCCTGAGATACCACCTTACCCCAGTCAGAATGGCCCACATCCTCAAGTCAGCCAATGACAAATGCTGGAGGGGATGTGGAGAAAGAAGAATCCTATTGCACTGGTGGTGGGAATATACACTTATACAACCACTTTGGAAAGCCATCTGGAGGGTCCACAGAAAGCTGAATATTGACCTCCCTTATGATCCAGTCATACCACTTCTAGGCATCTATCCTGAACAACGAACACATGGGCCTCCATGTTTATTGCAGCACTGTTCACAATAGCCAAGATATGGAAACAACCCAGATGCCCCACCACAGATGAATGGATCCAAAAAGTGTGGTATCTATACCCAATGGTATATTATCCAGCCATTAGAAAGGACAAAATAATGCATTTGCAGGGAAATGAATGGAGCTAGAAAAAATCATGTTGAGCAAGGTAAGCCAAGAGCAAAGAGACAAATAGCACGTGGCCACCCTGATAAGTGGATGTTAAATCCAAAACCTAAGATGATTTGACAAAATTAGCAAGGCTTAAGATACAAAGTACTTCCACTCATCTGGTCAAATCATTACCAAAAAAGCACATGCTGCTGATCACATATATGCTATATTTGTGCACACCAGAGGGAAACCAGGAGGAGGACACAGAACTAGAGGGAATTAGGGAAAAACATACAACAGTGGGACCCATCAGCTGCACTGGACATGGATCAAAATGAACTAAGTAACTCAATGGCAGTAATGGGAGGGAGGGAACAAGTGGGAAAGAAGGAACAGCTGATAATATGCAAAACAAAAGAAATGTACATATCACCTGATGTGGAAGAAATAACTCTATTGCCAAGCTCATAGAACACTTAAATGTTATAGACCATGATAAACAATTTGCCCCATGAAAGTTAGAATGTGTTTGTGACTTTAACTAAGCATCACTATCCCACAATACTGTGAAATTTGGGAAATTATGTAATCACTTAATCACAATAAAGAATTTGAAAAAAAAAGCCACATTCTTGCCAGTTGTGAGTATAATCCTAGCTACTCAGGAGATTGAGATCTGAGGATTGTGGTTCAAAGCCAACCCAGGCAGGAAAGCCCGTGAGACTCTAATCTCCAATAAAACCACTCAGAAAACCAGAAGTGGTGCTATGGTTCAAGTGGTAGAGTGCTCCCCTTGAGCTGAAGAGCTGAGGACAGCGCCCAGGCCCAGAGTTCATGCCCCACAACCACCACCAACAACAAAAAAGCCACATTCAGGAGGGTTCCATGTGTTTGCCAAGTACTGAATGGGCAAACCCACAGAGAAGAAAGGAAAACATGAGGGGAGCAGAGTCTCCATGACTACCTTGGGGGACAGGGCATTGTCGGGAGCCCTGCAGGGAGTCCCTCTGCATGATAAGCTTGACTATCTCGCTGGAACATCTCTCGAGGCTATTTACAGAATCTGGTCTTTGCATCCTGCCCCAAACAAAGACCAGGTAGCTGCTATTGACCACCTTTTCACATTGCCCTAAGCAAGCATCCTGCAGCTGCTATCCCCAATGAAAAAGCTTCCTTATTCTAAGCATATAAATACCCCTGTGTGAAAAATAAAATTTGGCAGCTTGATCAGAATCCTTGTCTTGCTGTCCTTCTTCATGTCTCTTGTCCCTTCATTCCTTCTCGCTTAGGTTCATTGCCCTCGTTGAAGTCCTGCGGGTCGGGACAGGGCATCTGTGGCAGCATCAGGAGAGGGGGTGCGTTTGGGAGGTGGCCTTAGTCTGGATTTCATCATGGTGATGGTTGGACACTATTGCAAATGTAGGAAAAACCAAATCACTGTATATATTAAAGTAGATAGTTATGAATTAATGTTACATGAATTGATTTGCAATATAAAAAAGATACAGATGTACAGTGAAAACGACCCAGGGATCGCAAATTTGCCCGGAGACTGTCCAAGGTCAAAGGTGTCATTCAGTGCTTGTGATCTGTTGAGCCAGGGACAAACGAATTGCCAAAAGTGAAACAAAACAGAACCAACCACAAATATTGTGCCCCCAAGAACCACATGATAGATTCCCGACAATATAAAGAAGGAATAACTTAGATGTATAAATATATATGTGACATATATACATATATATAATATAGATATATATATAATACATATATATGTATATATAGGTAGGTTTTATATACATATATGTTTGTGTGTGTACATATACATATATACAAAACTCTGGGCCTGGGTGCTGTCCCTTAGTTCCTCAGCTCAAGCAGAATACTCTACCACTTGAGCCATAGCACCACTTCCAGTTTTCTGGTGGTTCATTGGAGATAAGATCCTCAGAGACTTTTATGGCCAGACTGGCTTTGAACAACGATCCTCAGATCTCAGCTTCTTGAGGAGCTAGGATTAGAGGCATGAGCCACCAGCACCCAGCTCTAGCTATATTGAAGAGTTAATCTCATCAATACACACACACACACACACACACACACACACACACATATACACACACACACACATCCAAACATGTACACACACAGTTAGACACAAGACTGCTCACTGCCCATTTCCATTGATACAATGGAACCAGAGTCATGAAGGTCCATTGGCCAGGGACATCCACAGACCCAGGTGGACACCTGGGTAGGGGGTACTATGGTCCTGGAGCCCAAGGTCTGGCTGCGACCTCCCAGGTGCTGGGAGGATGAGCCAAGGCCCAGCACAGCCTGGGAGGCCACTGGCCTCTTCTCTGAAGGGGACTGCACATCTGGGGACAGAACCCTCTGCTCACCCCAGTGTTTGTAGGGCACCTGAGACTTGCATGGCGCCCCACATCTCTCTCTGTAGGGTCACATGGGTGATGCACACTGCTGTTGGGGAGGCTGATGCTGGCAATGGCCTCTCCCAGGAGCCCATCTCCTGGGGGCTGGGGCTTCTGCTGGGCCTTTGAATGTGGGGAGCTGGGCCTCCACAGACAACTCTGGGGCAAGGAGGGATGGTGGAAGGTCTGTGTGTGGCTTTGGGGCCTGGCTGGGGTGGGAGAGGAGAGGAAGGGGCTCTCCCCTGGGCTATGGGTCACTAAGGAAGCAGAAATTAAAGTCAACATTGGGGGCTTTCTTGGTGGGGCCCTTAGGTGGAGAGGGAACACTCCTGGTGGTAAGGGGTGGAGGTGCTTAAATGGACTTGTAGTGTAAATGTATATGAGTAATCTTTGTTTATTTCTTGGTATACGAATAGCACCAGGGCTGGGAAGGTGGCTGGGAAGATATAGTGTGCCTGCCTTGCATGCATGAAGTCCTGGGTTCAATTCCTCAACACCACATAAGCAAAACAAAAGCCAGACTTGGCGCTGTGGCTCAGTGCTAGAGAGCTAGCTGTCAAACAAACAAACAAAAAGAATAGCTGTAATATTAGAGAAGTTATACTGATATATATATATATATATATATATATTTCTAATATTCAACCTTAACTAGATATCTTCTTCTTCTTCTTCTTCTTCTTCTTAGTTTTGTTTGAGGGGGGGGGTCTGGTCGTGGGGACTGAACTCTGGGCCTGGGCGCTGTCCCTCAGTGCTTCAGCTCAAAGCTAGTGCTCTACCACTTAAGCCACAGTGCCACTTCTGGCTTTTTTTCTCTTTGCTTATGTGGTGCTGGGGAATTGAACCCAGGGCCTCAGGCATGCAAGGCAAGCAATCTACCACTATGCCACCTTCCCAGTCCCAGATATCTTCTTCTTTTTTCTTTTCTTCTTCCCCTTCCTCCTTCTCCTCCTGCTCCTTCTCTTACTATTCCTCCTCCTCTTTCTTTTTTCTTTTTGTTTTTTTGTCAGTTGTGTCACTTGAACTCTGGGCCTGGGTGCTTTCCTGAGGTCTTCAGCTCGATGTGAATGCTCTACCACTAAGCCACAGCTCTACCTCTGTTTGTCTGTTGGTTAATTGGAAATAAATGTCTTTCTTGCCTGGGATGGCTTTGAACAGGGATCCTCAGATCTCAGTGTCCTGACTCGGTAGGATGATCTGTGTGAGCCACAGGTGCCAGCTTATTCTTCTGTATTTTGCTCTGGTCCTACAGTTTGGACACCACCCTTGATGCTTTTTCATTGAAATATGAGGATTGACCCCCAGCCTCAATTCCAGCTAATTGAAGATTAGATTCTAATGAACTTTCCTGCCCTGGCTAGCTTTGAACTGCAATGCTCAGATCTTAGCCTCCTGAGTAGCTAGGATTACAAATGTGAGTCACTGTTACCTGGCTTGTAATTCTGTTTTCCAACTGTAGTCTGTGCAGCTAATTCATGTGTGTGTGTGTGTGTGTGTGTGTGTGTGTGTGTGTGTGGGTGTGGGTGTGGGTGTGTGAATTTATGAGTGTGTGCCTGTACTGGGATTTGAACTCAGAGCCTGACACTCTCCCTTTTGCTGAAGCCTGGTGCTCTACCACTTGAGCCACAGCTCTACTTCCAGCCTTTTGGTATTTAAAGGGACATAAGAGTCTCAAGAACTTTCCTGCCCAGGCTGTCTTGGATCTCTGATCCCCCAATCTCAGCCTCCTGAGTAGTTAGGATTACAAGCATGAGCTACAGTCGCCCGGCTCATCCTAAAGGATTTGTATGTGTTACTAAAGAGACTTTGCATTGGGTACTCTGAGCCTCTTTATTGCCTCCTCCTGGCTCCCTGGCTGAGGTCCAGAACTACAGCCTAGGGGACCTTCTGTGGAAATGGATTTCTGCGTAATTCTCCTCATGGTCCTTGGGCTTCGGGGTCTCCAAAGGCCGGGAGAATTTGAATGCAGCATAATGGAGTTCTTCTGGGCAGCTCTCAGGGTCTGGGCCTTGTGTGGGTGATGTTGGCTTCTGGCAGCTGAGGGTGGCCTTCTGGTTCTTCCTTGGTTCTGGGGAGCCAGCGCCTGGAGAAGCAATCCTGGGATGGCTGCTTGGCTTGGCCTTCTTTTTCTGCATCCAAGGAAACAATAACCTCCATTCATTCAAAGAGTAATTCATTCATTCACCTACCAGAGTTGGGCATTGAGCAGGTGCCTGGTACAACTTAGGCACTGAGGCCACAGCTGGGAGAAAAACCCAGTCCCTCAATGAGTCTGCTTTCCATCCCCACCCCAAGGAACACTGGGTACAGGGGAACTGGGTTTGTGGCCAACAGAGCTGGCTAGGGTGGGCGTGGGCACTGTGGGCCTTTCATTTCCTAGGCAGGAGCTCTACCAGTTTGCTCCCCATCCCAGCCTCTTTAGCTTTCATTGCTGTTCCAGCAAACTCTGGTCTTTATGCTCAGGCAAGCCTTGAACCATCATTCTCTCAATCTTAGCCTGCCAAGGAGCCAGGATGACAGACGTGAGCCACTGTGCCTAGCTTGGTTTTATGATTTTGATGGTGGGCTGTCAGCAGCACATCCTGTTTCTTGTCTCCCCACTTCCAGCCTCCTTCCCTGCACCCTATAACCGAGAATGGAAGAAAACCCAAGCAGTCACTATGGCCTCCTGGAATCAAGAGGCACACACTCTGGAAGCATGCCACTAGTCCCTTGGGAGTCAGGGACACCTCACGCAACCTTTCTAAAGATGACTGGAGCAGAGAGGCACACAGTTATAATCCCTGCATTCAGAAGGCTGAAGGGCAGGAGGATGGCCAATTTGAAGCCATCCAAGACTACATAGCAACGCCCTGTGCCAGACAAACAAACATCCCTATGTCTCCCAAGAGTGGTAGGACATGGGGCTTGATTTAGACTCGAGTGAATCAGCAGCCTGATGGGCCACACACTCACCATGGCATGGGCCTTAGGGTTGACGATGCTGTTATCAAGGACGGTGCTGTGCCTGGAGACCTGGGTTCTGCATGTCTCTGTATGAGGCTGTGATTTCCTCAGCATCTTCACACTGTGGAAATAAACTCATTCTGGAAGCACTGTTGCCCCTTCCCCTTTCCAGGCTCCTGACCCCATGACTCCTGACCTCTGGCTCCTTGACCTCCCCCAACTCACATGAGCACGATGAGGCAGAGGAAAAGGAGAGTCGTGACACCGATGCCCAGGCCTGCCCGCTTGGAGAATGCTGCAGGGATGGAGCCTTCATCTGTTTGGGAGACCAGGTGAGGTCAGCCAGGAGGCATGGGGCTGCCATCCCTCCACTGTGTCTGAGCCTCATTCTGATTCAGGTCTTACATTTCTCCCCTATTTTTCTTCCCCAGCCTGCCACACACCAGGGACTCTGCCAACTGTTCCCTCCAGAGGGCAGCAGACAGCACTGTCCTCCACTCACAGTGCACAGAGAGGCTCAGGGACATGTGCAGGTCACCCAGCGGGTTCTGCGCCAGGCAGGTGAATTCTCCTTCATGTTCTGCCTCTACCACGGGCAGCTCCAGCACCCCAGGCTCTGTGGGCCAGGGGGGGCTCAGCGTCTGGGAACCCCGGGCCCAGCTCAGTGTGGCAGACGGGTGGCTATGGGTGACACAGACCAAGCGCAGGCTTTGTCCTTGCAGGACATGGAGGGATGAGCCGTTCCTGTGGATTTCCAGCTCTAGGGGACAGAGAAAGAGAGATGTGGGGCGCCATCCCCACCAGTAAAGGAACCCAGACGCCCGGCTTCCTGTGTCCCCTGTCACCTGTGCTGTTTCCTTGAGAAGCGGTCACTGTCAGCACCTCCGGAGGGTCTGCAATGGAGACACAATGGCCAGGGCTCCCTCTGCCTGCGCCTCACACACAAACTGAGGCCCTGGGCTTGCTGGGTCCTGGAAGCTGTGGGGCCATGCCCCCTGCCCTCCCCTCCCCTAACCGCTCCCCTGTCCTTCCTCTGACCTCTTTCTACCCCCTCCCCTGCCCCTCTCGGGTCCACTCACACTGCACAGAGAGGTCCAGGGAGTGGTGCAGGGAGCCTAGTCTGTTCTCTGTGTGGCAGGTGTAACGCCCTGCATCCCTGACCTTCACCCCAGGCAGATCCAGCACCAGGGCTCCAGGCTGCGTGGCATTTGACCTCAAGAGGACTCGGTTCCCCAGGACCCAGGTCAGCATGGGGGGAGGCCAGCCAGCCGCAGTGCAGAGCAGCCACAGAAATTGGTCTTTACGGACGTCCATGAACATTGTGTTTCCTTCAGACTCTAGGGAGAGACAGGAGAGAGTGAGACAGAGACAGAGACAGCAGAGGGAGAGACACACACAGACAGATGCACAGAGAGAAACAGAGTTAGGCAGTGAGTGAGAGGATGAGATATACCCACAGACCCCAAAGAGAGACAGAGAGTGAGGGCTTGTAGAATGAGTTGGTCCCCTCCACCTACCATGGGCTTTCCACTTCTCCAGGGCTGGGCCAGCCCTGCCTCTGGACCTCCCACCTTGGGCATTGTCACGCAAAATTGTGATCACCAGGTCTCTGGGGGCGCCTGCAAGAAGGGTGTGGGCTCTCTTCAGGAAGGATGTGCTGCCTCCACAACCAGAGCCCCCTTCTCACAGGGCCTTGTGGTTCTTGCCTTTCCTGGGACCCCCAGATAGGCTTCTCCACACTCACACCAGGACGCTTTATCTGGCCAGAACTAAAGCCGGGACTCACAGGCCACACTCAGCCGGACAGTGTTCTCCACAGTGTTGCCAGCTCTGAAGTCCGCTCGGCAGGTAAGCTGGGTGCCGTGATCACTCGGGTGTGGTATGAGGCTGATTGCTGACAGGAAGGAGGTCTGGGGTCTGCTCTCAGTGCTGGAGAGGGCAGGCCCTGACCAGGAGATGGAAGGAGCCACACATTGCTGAGAGGTACAGGGAACCATGCAGATGATGGTCACTGCCCGCCCAGGCTCCAGGGTCTCAGGAATGAAGATGCGTGGCTGATTTAGGGCTGGGGGAGAGAAAGAGACCAGATGCTCATGATCAGGCCGTGGTCAGGAGACCCTGCCTCCATCCCCAGCCTGGGAGCCCAGTCCTGCCTTGCTGCACTTGTCACTTGCAGCTGGAACTTGTCTGCCTGGAAATTGTATTTCAGCTTCTCTCCCTTCTCCACTCGGAAGAAATCTGGTCGTCTCTCCTGGCATCTCTGATGAACAGGGTGCAGTCGTTCCTTTGGGGGTCTCCCACCAGCTGGAATCGACCCTGGATCAAGGCTTGCACGGGTTGAGCTGGGTTGGTGGAAGCCACGGGTTCCCTGGTATTTGTATTGGTTCCTTGTGTGAACCAGTAGCCATGAGCTGGGGAGGAATCCAGACCTGCCTCCTGGCTGGGGTAGGAGAAGGAGCAGGGCACGAGGACCCACAGCCCTTCCTGCACCTTCACCGGGCTCTGCACCTGCACCTTGTACCTGGGTGCCTGAGCCTGAGACCCTGTGGGGAGATAGATGGGTTCAGTCTGCATCCCAGCCCTGTTCCAGCCCAGCTGCCCACAGCTCTTGACCACGTACCGCCCAAGGACAGCAGCAGCAAGGAGAGGCGCAGCTGCATCCTGAGCTGCTCTGAGGCAAAAAGAGCAGGGACAGGAGGGAAGTGCAGGAGGCTGGGTTGTGGTGACACACGTGATACACACTGCTGCTAGAGAGGCCAAGGCTGGCAGGGGCCTCTCCCAGGGCCCATCTCCTGGGGGCTGGGGTGTCTGCTGGGCTTATGAATGTGGGGAGATGGGCCTCCCCAGACTCCTCCAGGGCAAAGAGGGAAGGTGCCAGGCCTGTGTCCAGCTTTGGGGCCTGGCTGATGTTGGGGGATAGAAGGGGCTCTCTCCTGGGCCCTGGGCAGGGGACTCTGGGGTGCAGAGAGAACTCTTCTGTGTTTGTGCTTAAATGGACTTTCAGACTTAAAAAACTGCTCAATCTTCCTATTTTTTTTCTTGGTATAAGAATAACTGCCACAGGGGCTGGGAATGTGGCTTAGTGGTAGAGTGCTTGCCTAGCATGCATGAAGCCCTGGGTTCAATTCCTCAGTACCACATAAACAGAAAAAGCCTGAAGTGGCAGGGCTGGCAAAAAAAAAAAAGAAAGTAAAAAAAAAAAAGAAGAACTGCCACAGGATTGGCTGGGAAGGTGGCTCAGTGGCAGAGTGCTTGCCTAGCATGCATGAAGCCCTGAGTTCAATTCCTCAGCACCACAAACTGAAAAAACCAGGAGTAATGCTGTGGCTCAAGTGGTAGAGTCCTAGCCTTAAGCAAAAGAAGCTCAGGGACAGTGTCCAGGTCCTGAGTTCAAACCCCAGAACTGGCAAAAAAAAAAAAAAAACCCTCCAACATTGATTGGAGAACTAAGGCTGAGAAAAGTTTTTTTTTTTGTTATCTAAAATTCAAATTTGACATATATTCCTCTTTTTTCTTTACTTCCTCCTTTTCCTGCTTCTTCTTCTCATTCTTCCTCTTCCTCTTCTTTTTAATTCTTCTTCATTTTATGCTCCTCCTACAGTTTGGACTCAAGGCCTGGACAACACCCTTAAGCTTTTCCACAGAAAGTGAATGCTCCTCCATTTGAACCACAGCCCCGCTTCTGGCTAATTGGGGATTAGCATCTTATGAACTTTCCTGCCAGGGCTGGCTTTGAACTGTGATCCTCAGATCTCAGCCTCCAGATAGTTGGGATTAGAAGGTGTGAGCCACAGGTGCCCAGCTCTTTTATTATTATTTTTTTTCTCCTGTAAATCAACACCCCTAGGCCTATCTCTGGCCCTGTCTTTAAACTACCCCCCTATTCCAGTCCCCATAAGCCCCTGACCCTTAGTTTCCCATCTTCCTCCTTATTGCTTCTTCCTCTTTGGGCAGGCTGTGGTATCATAGTACCATTCACTGCCCCGCTGCCCACACAGATGGCTTAGAGAGATCATGAGGACAACGGGCAGGGTGTGCAGAGGCTGGAATAAAGGCTCCACCCCAGTCCCTGTCTCTTCTGACCCTTTCTGGAAGGACTGTTAGTCCTGGGCAACGCACCTCCCAGGAAACCCAGAGGCAGACCCTGCAAGGCCAGCTGCTTTGATTAATGAAGAGTCTCAGAACTGGCAGGAACTTACCGAAGCCTGGGAAAGACCCTGGGACCTGCACACTCACACACGAATAGAGTATGTTACAGAGCATATACAGATTCTTTTTTCTTTCCTTGTAATTATTCCCTAAACAATAAACCACAGCAACGAGTTACACAGAATTAGTGTCAGGTATCAGTCATGAGAACCCAGACAGCAGAGTCACAAGTTCAAAGCCAGTCTGCCCCCTGGATGCAGGGTGTGGGATATAACTTGAATTCCCCCATTGGCCAAACCCCACTGCAGGGGATGGCTGGCCGCTTCAGCCACGTGGACACCAGAGGGCGCTTGGAGCTCAGGTTTCTGCTATAGGCTTGGCCCCATGCAAAAGGGGAGCTTGCTGGATGGAATGTGGGGTCCTCCATAACCCTGCAGATTGGGGAGAAGGCTCTATAAGTAACTGCTGGCAATGTCACATCCAATCCTCAGATTGCACTTGTATGTGTCATGAGGTAGGGGTGGGGGTGTCCTACGGTGTCATCCTAGTTTGAGGGTTCACAATTCTCACATATCTCACTTTGTGCCAGTAAGTAATGCAATAAACATCTGTTTATTCATCTTTGTGTAAGTTATGTGGAAAGAGTCTGACTCCTTTTGTGTTCATGCAGATACCCTTTCTGTATGTTTGTGCTGGAGCTGGGACATGAACTCAGGATCTAGATGCTGTCCCTCAGCTTTTTCCTCTCAAGGTTGTAGCTCTACTACTTGAACCACAGCTCTGCATCCAAATTTTGGTGGTTAATTGGAGAGAAGAGCCTCATGGGCTTTCCTGCCCAGGCTGGCTTCAAACCATGGTCTTCAGATCTCAGCCTCCCGAGTAGCTGGAATTACAGGAGTGAGCCACTGGGCTCCCAGCTAACTGCCCCTTTTGGAGGAAACAGGAAGGGACTTCCACAGGGTTGGACTGTTTTACATGAAGGGAGCAGAGTCCAGTGCCGGGATAGCCATGCAAACACTTATGAGTTGTTTTTTGTTCCATGACAATTATCCAACCAAGTAGCCTGCAGTACTGTAGTTTTGTTTGAGTTTTGCATTTTCTCAATGTTGAATGTCTTCTGTGCTCCAGGCTCTTGTGAGTGTTTGAGGGGTGATCACTGCTGTGGCTGTGGTGCTGTGACCCATATCCATGGTCCATGATGCTGGCCTTAAATCAGGTGACAATTGAGAGCCGCCATGGGAACAGACTCACACAGCCCCCAAGCCGGGTGCAAGCTGGGCCAGAAGGTGGGCAGGATGAGGACAGGTGGGGAGGCAGAGGTAAGAGGCTCTGGGAGAAAAGTCCTGCACACAGAGGCCACAAGAGACTTCCTGTGTACAACGTGGCACTCATCCCATCTCTGTCCACATAAGAACGTCAGGTGGTTCAGCTGTGGTGGTGGCAGGTGCTGGCTGTGTTTTGAAGTGGAAGCCAGTGTGGGTGAGGGGACAGGGTGGAGGAGGGAGGCATGGAGGAAGGTCTGTGACAAGGGAAGACACCAAGGGAAGGATGGAGGTAGGATTGGGAGAGGGAACAAAAACAGCCAGATGCTGCTGGCCTGTAATCCTAGTTACCCAAGAGGCTGAGATCTGAGGATTGTGGTTCAAAGCTACCTGGAGCAGGAAAGTTCCTGAAACTTCGTCATCCCTAGTGTGGGATAGCATCATGTCTTACACCTTATACCTGCCCTCACTTGGGCAGATACAACTCTCTGATGTGATGCATCTGCTACACGACTTATATGAAGGACACTTATAGTTCCTGAAACAGAATCCCAATTTCCCAATTAAAATACGGGACGTCCGCCCAATGGGATCTTACTATGTCTTCAAAATGGAGTGGAACCCTGGCAAATCCTGAAAGCAGCAGCTTAAAAAGCCACATTCTTGACACATATCGCTCACAGAACACCAGAGCAGAAGACCTGCAAGCTACTGGTGGTGATCCGGAAAGCACAAACAGAGACAAACCCCAGCACCCAGAACCTGCACGGAGACCCCTCTGCCACCCCTCGGCTGGAGGCCAGTGTGCAGACCATGCCCGAGGAGTGGCCTATCCCACAGCGCCAACCCGAACACCATCAACAGAGGCAGAGACAGAGGAGAAACACGTAGAGGCACCACTGCCCAGCCCAACCCACAAGCATCTCAACTGAACTCTGATTGCAGTGGCAAACAGTGACCTACATCACACAGAAAAAACAACTAGCTCCATGGTGAGTACCCTTCAGGGGACAGTGTATCGCTCAAGGGAGACCAGAGCTGGTGGGAACCCCTAGATCCTTACCCAGACCCCTACACCTGGACTACAGGACCAACTAAAACTGGGAATTGTTTGAGAGCTCCACCAGACTGTGGAGCATATCCAGCCGGTGAGGCTAGAACAAGAGCACCCCTGGTAGGGAGCTTAAACACCCAAGCCAGGAACAGTGCCCGTGGGTCACAGCAACCAACAGTGGAAGAAACTTGAACTCTGTACTACAGGCTGCATAACCCAAGTGGGATACACAGCAGCACAGGTCCAACCGGTGTTCTCCAGGCCAGGGAGCAGGAGCCAGGACCAGACCTGGGGATCAGGTGCCTGAGCAACAGAACCAACTCCTCCCAATTGAAGTCAGAAGCTGAGCATATAACTCAGCAGAGTGGGCAGAAGGAAATAGGGAATTTCACCCCCTGGAATCACGCCCGTGACAGCAAAAGACATGGGTGTCCAGGGCAAGAGAACCAGAATCCCAAACCCCACCAGAACCTGCCACATACATCCCAGGCCAGGACTTACACAACACAGGCTGCCAGCACCTGATAATAGTCAGGAGCTCAGGCTGGTAAAGAGGCTCAGTGGTAGAGTTCTTGCCCTATGTGCATGAGGCGCTGGATCTGATTCCTCAACACCACCTAAGCCAAAAGGGCCAGAAGTGGTAGTTGGGCTCAAACGGTAGGGTGCCAGCCTGGAGCTGAAGAGGTGAGTGACAGCATCCAGGCCCAGAGTTCAGACCCCACAACTGACCAAAAATAAAAAACAAAGAAAAAAAACAAAACTACAACAACAAAAAAACATCAGGAGTCCATAGCAGACTCCAGCAACTGGAACAGTATATCCAGCACACCCGATCTCACCAAAAGCACCTGTAGGAGTAACAGGAGCAGTCTAGGCTCCTCCGTCCTTCTTTAGGTGGGAACTGCCAGTGATCTACAGCAAAGAGCTGAGAGCCCTATGTGGGCTCAGACCAGCAGCTGGAGGTTGGCCCCCAACAGAACTGAGACCAGGTACAGACTCTCTCCACCAACCCAGAAACAGCAACCAAGCAAAAACAGACACATATTGACCAAAACAAAATTTCAAATTAATCTCCAATAATCCCTGAATCCCCATGTGAAAATCGCAGAGAAAAATTACAAGGTTTATCAATACCCAGGATAGCAAGCTACCCCCAAAAGTCAGTAGCCACCCAGGGGAGAGCCCCAATGGGAGC